TTAATGACCACCTACATTATCCATTACATAAGATAAAACAGAATATAAGAGGTCATACTGTAGACTACAGTTCAATAAATACTGTCAACTATGATTATATATAAATATATGTGAAACAAACAGACGTACAGATAATAAATGTATTACAATATATCTTGCATTGGTTACAAATAATGAGTTAAAGTGGACCTATCATGCTATATTTGAAACATATATTGTAGGGCCATACCTATATAAAACATGTCTGTGAAGTTTTTTTTTCAAAATACCAAACAGATCCTGCATTTTAGCCATGCCTCATTTCGCTCTATTTGCTCTTTTCCAGCCCTGTCTTCAGAAGGGCTGATTCTGCTTTTGTGGCAGACTACAGCGCGACTTACAGGCCTGGCATATGTACTGCAGCGTCTCCAGCGCTTTCGAGCGGTCTCTCATTCCCCTGATAGGTGGAGAGTTGCCCATATACAGTAGGCGGAGCACCCCTTTTCTGACGTCAGAAAAATTCAAATAATAATCAGCTCCGTTGCAGCCCCGTTTTTAGAGATTTGGGTATGGAGGAAAAGAGAGAGGGTTGTGTTTTCTGACACTTGGTGAGTTCCCTGACACACCGGGGACACATATTCATGTATAAAAGGCGTACAAAAGTGCATTTTGCATGATAGGTCCCCTTTAAAATATGGACAGATTTAAGAAATCCATAAACAAACTAAATGTTATGCTTTCTCACCCATCAGAAAAAACATAGTTCCAAATTACAAGTTAATACAAGTTTGTTTGTTGTTTGTAGCCTTTATTTAACCAGGTGAAATCCCATTGAGATCAACGGTCTCTTTTTCAAGGGAGACCTGCAGCATGTTGGTTATATAAAAAACAGAAAAACAACAGAAAACAAAAAGGACTTCATACAACATAATTACAGGGGTACAATTTACAAACCTATTCACAATGACAGGTACCAAGAGTATCAAATAGCATTTCATCCAGCCGAGCTTTAAAATTATGCAGGGGAACCAAAATGCTCAGTTTAAAAAAATATTGCAGTGTTCCAAGCTAGAGGAGCTGCGCACATAAAAGCTTTGGTACCTAAAACAGTTCTAGCACTTGGCACACATAAAAACACATCCTGAGATCTTGGGCAATAGCTACTTGCGACTCTCAGCTGGTGAGAGAAACCCTGGCTTGATTTACCGAGTTGATAACCAGCGTCGTATGACCGTTTAGCGAGAGCGCGTTTGTTAGGGTTAGTTAAGATATCATAACTCAAACGTATCCAGGGTCTGTTGAACTGGCTTCGTAGTACAGGGCACAGGTGGCTGCATAGCAGCGCTAATGTCAAAGACACAAACATTATACATTATATTTTTCTTGCATGCAGTGACAAAAATATTTGGGAAGGCTTAGCCTTCCCTAGCCTGCAGTACCCGCCGCCCCTGCATCTGGTGCTAGCTGCTCTAACGGATATTAGAAGAAGATGTTTCTACAATAATGTGGAGGGAGAGTCCTCTCCAGTCAGACTGAGAGGCTGATAACTACAGCTCAGTGAGGTAAAGAACTCTGAGTGTTTAGATAGTTCACTTTAGTCTAAGTTATCTCAGTGGGTCTCAAACGTTTTGATCACAATTTATGTAAACACATATTTCCAAGGCACTCCTTTATAATTATTGGGATAAAACAGGTTTAAAATCATTCCAATGTATACTATAGGACAGTAAACCAGACATATTGTTTTAAACTGGAGAGATACAAAAATATGCATAAATAAAATAGTAAGATATGAATGAACAACAAAAATAAAATACGTTACATGTATTTGTTATTGGCTATGGTAGGTTATTGGTTATGTTCACATACTTATTTAATTATTAAAATGTAAACCGATCTTTTTCATATGGGTGTTTAGAGTTGTACCCCCTAGATCTAGTCTCTAGTAATTCTGCTTAAAGTGCACCAGATTGAAGCATTTTACTTTCAAATGTGCAAACATTTCTTCCCGGTATTCCTGAGAAGGCTTGTTTTTCTCAACAAGAACTGTTTTTAAATGGGGGGGGGGGGGTTTCCTTTAAAAGTTGGACTGTTGCACTGTTGTAGCTTCAGTGGTTCTCAGGTTACAGTTACATAGCAGTAAATATAAACAGACTGATTCATGTGAATATTACTGTAAACTAACCTGTATAATAGTTTCTCGAATAAATGTAATTTTTTGGTAGAAGAAGCATGTATCATTTTTTTACCCTGCCCCTCAAAGAATCGGAATTGAGAACCGTTAAGAACCGTAATCGAAAAGTAGAATCAGAATCAGAATCGTGGAAATACAAACGATACCCAACCCTACTCATGACACACCACCTGTCTTGTCAACTCTCCGGCCGAAATTCCGAATAAACCATCAGTGTTTGACATCAAAGCTCCAACTCTCCTCGTGTCTCTCTGAGTCCTGACTCTCCATTGCTACAGAAGTTTCCCCCACAGCTTTATAGATGAACATGTACCAATGACTGAGCCTGAGAACAGTAAGTGAAGGCAGACCTGCCTTGGCATACAGGGTACAGTGATGAGTAAGTGCTTTACAGTTAGTAACAAATCTCAGCGTACTGTGATAGGCGGCATCTAACTTGATTAGGTAATGGGCAGGTGCATTCATATAGATCAGATCACCATAGTCCAGCACAGGTAAAAAGGTCACAGAGCCTTTTCCTGGCCTCAAGCGAGAAACAGGACTTGTTTTTGAAAAAGAAACCTAGCTTCACTCTCAGCCTTCTAAGCAGATTATTGACCTGAGGTTTAAAAGAGAGGCAATCATCAAGCCAGATACCAAGGTATTTATAACAGTTAACCACTTTGAGTACTTGTCCTTGCATAGTAACAATATCCAAAGCTGTCTCCGGTGTCTTTTTTGCTTTTGAAAATAGCATTACCTTAGTTTTATCAACATTTAAAAGAGAGCTGAGTCTGAATAATATTAAAAACAGCCTGCAATTTAACAACAGCCTCCTTAATGGAGGGACCTGCACAATACATCACGGTATCGTTCGCATAAAAATGTAAAATTGCTCCATCCACATTTTGACATAAGCTGTTGATGTAGATGGAGAATAAAAGTGGACCTAAAACAGAACCTTGAGGAACACCATTAGCAATGTTTAACCACTCAGAAGACAGCCCACCAAACTGAACACATTGGGACCTTTCAGAGAGGTAGTTCACAAACCACCCCACTGCATGGCTGGATATGCCTATACTGGTCAGCCTCTGTTTCAGGATATGATGATCGACGGTATCAAACGCTTTGGAAAGATCAATAAATAGAGCTGCACAACTCTTCTTTTTGTCTAAGATACCCACAATATCATTCACCACTTTCATTGTCGCAGTGATGGTGCTATGTTGCTTTCTGAAGCCTGACTGATGTTTAGACAGGATGTCCTTTTTACATAAAAACACCTTTACCTGCGCACTCACTAGGCGTTCAAGAACCTTAGCCAGAACTAACAATTTAGAGATGGGCCTATAATTATTTAATAAAGTGGCCTCCCCACCTTTTAGTAAAGGAAGGACATAAGCTGACTTCCATATTTTTGGAATTGTGTTGGTGCTGAGGGAGAGGTTAAAAAGAAAATCTGCAGCTATCTTTAAAAAGAAAGGTTCTACGTTGTCCGGACCAGCCGGTTTCTTAGGATCTAACTTGGATAAGGCTTCATGAACGATTCAATAGTAAAAGGAGAAAAACTGAAAGGGGTTTCCAAACCACGTTTTTCAGAGTCACGGACTGTGTTGTTCACAGTAGCAGAGTTAGTAACAGAATCAAACACAGAGCCACAGGCAGTCCCGGACTGGCCATCGGGAGGACCGGGAGGTTTCCCGATGGCCTGGCCTGTTAAGTGGCCTGCTGGCCTGAGGATTCTTTTTGTAATGTATGTATAGTGAACGCAACGCTGCGCAAATGTGGGTCTTACTCTGCCTCACAGAGGGTGACTGGCTGTCTACATGATGTGGCCCGCCGACATGGCCACTTTCATACAGATCATACACTAAAGCCCTCGATTGGTCTCTGTGTGTCATTCAAGCTCGGGATGGTGTGTGTATGTGTGGCGCGAGCGAGAGAGCGCGCGCACCGATTACTGTATTGTTGCTGTTAGCATCTGGTGCTAGCTAGCTGCGCTAACCGATATAAGGAGCTGTTTCAACAACAAGGTGGAGGAGAGTCCTCTCCAGTCAGACTGAGAGATTGATAACTACAGCTCAGGTGCTGGTGAGGTAAAGGACTCTCTTGAGTGTTTAGATAGTTAACTTTGTCTAAGTTATCTCTGTGGGTCTCAAACGGTTTGGTCTCCATTTATGTAAACACATATTTCCATTTGAGGGGGGAGTGAGATTAGTTAAATATGCATGAATAATACAAAAAAAAAACGTTAACTAGGTGAAAAAAGGTAAGATAAACTTTTAAAACTTGTTGAGAGCTAAATCTAGTCTTTGCTTCTGCCTCAAAGAGGAGCAGGGGGGAGACAGGAGAGGCTGATTCAGGAGCACAGACACACACAACTATAAATGAACCAAAAACAAATAAATAAACAAGTTCAAATGTTTTTAAATATTGGATATGGTATGTTATTGGTTATGGCCATATTCTTATGATTATTTAAATGTATACAGTTCTGTTTCATATGGGTGTTTCCATAGATCTAGTCTCTTTATTTCCCCCTCAAAGTGCACCAGATTGATGCATTTAACTCCAACATTTAACACAAAAATCTTACCGGGGGAGCATGCCCACGGACCCCCTAGAGGATTTTAGGTCCACCCCCACTTAAAATATGTGAACATGGATAGGTTCCTAAATAGATTTTCACATTTTTTTAAAATAGTGACCCATGTCCATATGTTTATTTTTGGGTAGTAGATTTAAACTATAGGGCTATCACTATGGGCAGCAACGCTGTAAATATTGACAAATAAATAGTGGCCTGGCTGGGTGTATAACTCCCGGCCTGACTTATTGTCCCAGTCCGGCCCTGGCCACAGGACACAACATGCTCATTAAAACAATTTAACATAGTGGCCCTGTCCGATATAGATTATTTATTTATTTATTATTGTGATGCTATGAACTATGTATAGTGTAAATTGGAATGATCCACATCTGTGCTCCCGGGTGTATCTGTGTTTTCTTCCTGCCTGTGTACATGACATAAGCTACTGCTCATAACCCATTTCCCCTTGCGGGATTAATAAAGTTGTTGATTGAGATGCTGTGGTAATGAAAGCATTGCTGGAGGAAATTATATTTGTTCAAATATTAAACTAATTGTTTTAGTCTAATACTATGCAATTGCCTTTGTGTCCTTCAATCAGGCAAATACAGAACTTAAATATTTAACGAATATATCTTTTTTTTCTATAAGGTTTTTTTCTGTTTAAAAATAACACGTTTCCAAATAATAAAAAAAAAAACATGGCACTTTTTTTTAAACATGACAGGATCCAGTTCTGTCAGACATGTCAGCTTGTAAAACAAAGTTCAACAGTTTGCTAACAGGGCTCTCTAACAATGGGCAGCTGAGGCTTTCACCGTCATCAATGGAGCGAAAGGTAACTGTTTAACCGACCTGAGGTGTGATCAATCTACGAGACAGAGCTGCCAGCAGAGCCAGGGATCCATAAAATTAACAGACAGGTGATGAGGCAAAAGAAGGATTTATGAATTCCCCTTTACAACCCTGTAAAACCCCTTCACTGTTGATTAACCCGTGAGAAAACTTTGCACCTGCGGTCACATGACTGCAGAGCTGCAGGGCAAAACTGTTTAAAGGAGGCTTGTGGATGGAAGGAAAGCACTCACTGAGCTAAGCACCTGCTGAGCACACCAACAACAAGAGACAAAGACTCTTCAAGACAAATCGCTGTCACCATGAAGGCCACACTCGCCACCATCACTGTCCTCGTCCTAGCTCTCAGCTGGACCTCTGAGGCGGTGCGGGTTGAAGTAAGTGCATTATTTATCATTTTTGTAGTACTCACTGATCCTGGACAATAGCTTTGTTCATGCAGCTTACCCAAAACCTGCACTCTGTACTCTTTTAGATTACAAACTTGTTTTGACACATTATTTGAACTAACCCTACATCAGTTAACTGGTAAGATGCAGTTCTTTAACACCAATTATGTGTCTTTCTTTTCAGGAGAATGGATTGTCTTTCTCTCTGGAAGCCGTCATGAGGCTCCAGGAGCTGACAGAGAGCAGCGGAGCAGGACAACAGAGCCCTCGACTCAGGGCGAGCACCGGGTCCCTGTGTGCCGACCCCATGCTCCCCCAGGAGTTCCTGCCCCTCTGCAGGCTGAGAGGAGCATCTGCATCCCTGTCCAGACTAGGTGAGACCACTATATTAAAACAGCCAGCCTTTGAGTGGAATATTAAGTATGCCAAGTCATGAATATGGAGGTCCAGGTGATAAAAACAGTGTGTCTTACAGTCTTTTGTCTTTATTTCAGCTATGGTTCCCATGGACGTCTGTGAGATCTGCGCTTTTGCTGCCTGCACCGGCTGCTAAGCAAGCAACAAACACTTTGCCCAGCTTAATACTTGTGATTTTTTTCCTCCCCCTCACAACTATAGTACTTCAGAGACAGTGACATTATGTTCCCTGACCAGAGAGGCTCTGTCTCCGGTCTTTTGGCACTTAATAGAGCAAACTAAGCCCCCAAAAAGAAAGAAATCAAACAACGTATCTTGTTGTTGTGGATTTCTGTAAACTGTTACAGTAGCTTATTTCCTTTATTTTTCATTTCCATCATGCCTTTTATTTTTGGAATGTGTTTGTTGCATTTCTATCTTACCAAGCTTTGTACTGTACACATATTTAAAAGTTCCTATTTTCTTGTTTCTTAACATTGTTTTAAATAAAAGGCTTGCATTCATAAATCATGTGTACGTTGTGCTCTTTTCTGTAAACTCAATTAAATATTCAAATTATTATTATTAATATGATATTATATATATACATATATTATCTTTTTTTGTAATGCATTTTTCATATAAAATAGTGACATATTGGTGGTACACGACATCAACAAATAGACATCACAAGACATTGCAAAAAATAAAAAAAAGCTTCGTTGAGCTATAGGAGGAGATTTGTTTTTCTCTTAGCTATTATTAAGATGTCATCTTGTCAATTATGCTCCCCCAGATACACTCCAACCTCATTATGTTTTTCGTGGTTCTATATCGAGTGATAATTACAACACTCAAAACCCATTTTTGTACGGTAATGTTTGTTGGCCTCCTCTGTCACAGCGACAGTTTTGATGTTCAGGGCCCTTGTGGGCAAATGACAATATAATTCATTAAAAGGGGGTTGCGGTAAAAGTGCATGCTTTGTCAACATTCCCTGTAAACATAAGGTTAAATTGTTGTATAGAAATGAAATAAACCAAACCAATTGTGATCAAATATAACATCTTTTCCTGCTTTTAATACTTATTTTTGGTGAAACTTTGGTGAATGTTGTCATATTTCTCAAATGACACTATTTTGCCTGCCTAGTTCCTATTCTCCGTTTTATTTCCCATGATAATATTTTCTCTCTGTTTTCCAATAAAGCTTAGTAATTTCAAGGAATACTCACTATATGTCTGGGGTAACCAATAACAGACTTTTCTTTTAAAATCCAATTTTAAACTCAAAGGTCAACAACTATAAATCTCGAAAAACACCTGAGGTGTACAAACTTAATCCAAGTAAAAGATAAATGCATAAGAAGCAAGAGTTTGCAACGCTTTTTTTCCTACTTTCAAGTCTCACTACAACCCTTGGTGGGTTTTAAAAAAATATGTCATCACTGTAATGTCCAGTGGACCATCAAAAAACGTAATAGTTGTATGATATTTGTACAATCCTAAAGTCCATCTCAACCAAGGTTACTAGAGGTGCGGCTAGGGGAGACTGCACCATCCCATTTAGGAAAAGTGCATTCAGCCAGGCTGTCTTTTCATTCCACGCATCCCATCAATGGAATTCAATACCACAACCAATAAGAGAATCCTCATCCTACTACACATTCAAGCACAGTGTTAAAAAGTGGCTCATTAATAATCAACAGTGTCGTCAGCACTGATGTGTGGGTGTAGGTGTGTGTATTGTGAATGTTTTATTTATTATCATGACTTGCTCTTATCTGTATTCAGTGATGTCATCTCTTGTAAATATGTACAAGGGTATAACGATGTCGTGGTATTTTCATTATTGCTTTTAGGATGTCTATCACCATCTGGCAAAGGGACTATCGGTGAAAACTAGCCTTTTGGCTAATTTGAGTACTTTTTCATTACATGTCACTTGTTAGACGCTTTTATCCAAAGCGACTCACATACTCAATACTGTGGGCAATCGCCACAGCAGCAATTTGGGGTGAAGTGTCTCAGGGACACAACGACATGCTGACTGCAGTGGGGTTTGAACCTGTGAACCCCTGATCCGAACACCAACAGACAACCCACTGCACCACACGTCTCCCTACATATTTTTAATATGTTGATTAATGTACACTGTCCCTTGTTTTAAATCAATCAATTCAATTAAACAATGAAAATCAAAATATTCGCTTTGTGGATTTTCCAAAAGCTAGTTCTACAGTTATTTAATGTTTTCATTAATATATGTTGTATGTTTGTATTTGTGTGTGAGAGGGACATTAAGTGAACATTGTTATCATAATACTGTGATGCTCGAGCTCGACTCCCAGGCAACAATTGTCTTTTAAAGTTAAAGATATTGTGTACAGATCCAGCAAAATCTGAGCTTTCAAAATATAAAATAATAAGAAAACCTTGATTTCATGAGTGAACCTGCAGAATATGTTTGATTTTAATAAGAATAATAATGATAATAATAATACATTTGATTTCTAAGCACTTTTTCAGGTGCTCAAAGACACTTTACAGTGGTGATAAAAAGGAAATAAAATAAAATATAAAAAGTTGAATTAAAATATTAGAACTGCAACACAACATTATTCACACATAATACTTTCTGACCTTGATGTGACTCCTGAAACAATCAGTTCACACAGTCGATTACAATTCATTGTTGATGGAGCAGCTCCAGACTTTGACTGACACTGACGTCACACTGACTCTTATCTGTTGTCGATCTTTGGGATAAAGCTTCCCATGACGTGAAACTACACATAAGTGATACTTGACAGTTTATGGTGCATTAAAATGCCTTTTCCTGACTGTGTAACCAAACAAAGAAGTTCCCATTTGCATCAGCAAAGAGTCATAATATCACAGCTTTGCAAACAAGTGACTTATTTGGTCAGCTCTGTTCGTATGGCCTCTCCCTTATCAGATGGCTCTGTGGCGAATACCTGTGGGAGAGAGATTTATGGGGTGGCACTGAGGCATCTGATGCTTAAGAATGAAACCCAAAGTAAATAATCAAGTATAGCGCTGGCGGAGGAATCAACAGGGATAGAGGTTATAAAATATCTAAAGGATTATGGTTATAAACTAAAAAGAGGATCCAGAACGCTAACAGTGGGCAATACCTTTGGTTATCTTTTAGCCACGGAGTTTCCCCCCTACTTTCACTCTTAGCCAATAAATCCCTCACTGACCTGTCCAGACTCCCTATAAGAGGCCGAGCAGACATCCAGAGACACAGAAGAATCTCTCCTCTGAACTGAGAAGCATCTTGCATCATCTGAAAATGAGAGTGCTCAGTGTCGTCCTTGTTTTGGTGCTGTGTGGGTGCAGTGGAGCTCTGGGTGTGAAGGTTAAAGTGAGTATTACTTATTCTTGGAAATACTTTGACCTTCGTCATCTTATCACTCATGCTGCTTCTATTTTTCAGTATTTTCTGAATGCATCTGAATGGTAGTTATTGACACCAATACATCTAAATGTCTCTTTCTCATCCCCTTTCTTTTGGAAGTTCTGCATGATTTATTTTGTGCCTCACAGTTTTTCTTGTCCTCCCCTAGGTTGGAGACAGGGTCTTCCCCTTGGAGGCAGTGAAGCAGCTGAAGGAACTGATGGATTTAGATGACAACGTTAGCCCTCGCGTCTCTGAGACGAGCTTGGTAGCTGCTTGTGCTAATCCTGTCCTGCCTCAAGTCTTTTGGCCAGTTTGCCAAGGGAAGGGGACAGGCATCATTTTCTCCAAACTAGGTAAGACTTTGCAAAAAATAATATAATTGTTAAAAACCTATTCTTAATTGAACTAGACAAAATGGCATTTTGGGCGTCTAATTTAAGTGGTGAATGAATAATAATAATTCGGTGCAAATATTAATATTGACGAAACCAGCACATCGTCAGCCATGTCCATTATAGTGAAGCAACATATCGATTCACTCATAAATGTGTTTTGAATAGTTTTTGCACACAAATGGAGCTGTATGGCAGGGAGGAACAAGCTCTTTTGTGTTTTGTCTTTCAAAGAGATATGCTTAACACAACCAAACACTTCCCTGATGAAGGAGCTGTGTCAGTTAGCTGGTTAGCCTAGCGTAGCACTGAAAACTTAGCCTGGCTGCCCAGTTTGTAAATCAATGAGTTACATCTCATTTGTTTTTTTCTGAACAACAATTCATTCAGACATGAAAGTGAGACATACTTTCAGCAAGAAAACAACAATTTGGACTATTCCTGATAAAAGGACCTGCTTTACCACCCACAGAATTGCTCAGTGAGAACAATTGTAACCTTTGGATTTTGGTACATTCATACAGGAAACAATCTCACAGGCTCTTAGAAACGCTGTTTTATCACTCAGAAATGTCCTTGCTCCTGACTTGAATTAAACCACCCTAACAACAGGCGCAGGCTTCAGTTTGCTGAATGGATTCCTCGAGTTCCCTGTTTACACTTTGTATTGTGCACATCCTGCAATTGCTGCACCATAAAGAGGCTCTGGAGTGATAATACCAGACAAGAGGCCTATGAATGGCTGTTGAAATACTCTTTCGGGGCCATTGAAGCTCAATAGACAAAGGCAACAACCTTGTGGGTGTATTGAGACGAATGCAGAAACGGATCTCGTTTTCAAAATTACAGCATTACATGAAAGTGAAAACCTGGTACTTGGGTGGGGAAAAAAACATTTTCACTTTTCCTTCAGTCAGACTAATATTTATGTTTTTCTTTCTGTTTCTTGCACTTTCCAGCCTCTATCATGGCGTCTTCAGATCCTTGTGAGATATGTGTCAACCCTTCCTGCTATGGGTGTCTGAACTGAGGCTGCCATCTGCTAGAAACATACACACGTCTGACTGAGAGCCTTTGGGGCCGTCATCCTACATCCTTCTTTAACATTCTTATGGCAACCATTGACTTCGGCAATACACATCCTGTCCCCTAACCAACCACAATGGGTCTCATGACTCACTGGTCGACATACACATTTTTAATTGATATATAGGCTTATCAAAAAATGTAAAACTGGGTTTTGACCATTTTTACAAGTTTTGGTAGATGCTAAAGTAAAATGGCAAAGCAGAGGTTTTGCATTATTTTAATATTACTTTGTTGTCTTCTTATTGAACTTTTTATTTATTGAGTGTGTGCAGCTTCTTGATAATAAAAATATGTATTCTTTGCATCCTTAAAAGCAGTTTTTACTTGATGTTTCAAGAATAATGTAATGCTCACACACACACACACACACACACACACACACACACACACACACACACACACACGTCTCACCTTTTTATACAAACACAAAATCACACACACACACACACACACACACACACACACACACACACACACACACACACATACACACACACACACACAGCTAATTTATGAAACAGTATTTAGGAACGTTCATGACTGACATTAATGATAATAATAATGATACATTTTATTTGTAGGCGCCTTTCATGACACCCAAGGACACCATACAATTAGTTGAAAAAAGAAAATGCTAATAGGCAACAGAACATGATAAAAACACAAACAGGAAATCATGGAGGAGACAATGAAGTGGACACAAATGAAACATATAATGGGGAGCACTGCAGTGAGTAGGCAGATTTGAACAGGTGGGTTTTTAATTGGGATTTGAATATGGTGATTGTGTCTGACTGTCGGATGTGCGGGGGGAGGGAGTTCCAGAGTCTTGGAGCAGTGCAGCTAAAAGCCCGAGCACCCATGGTGACGAGGCGTGGGGTGGGGACGGTTAGCAGACCAGCAGAGGAGGAGCGGAGGGAGCGAGAGGGGGTATACTCCTGAAGAAGGTCAGCCAGATAAGGTGGTGCCAGGTTATGTAGGGCTTTGTAAGTGAGCAGTAGGTTGATATGCATGATATCAGTGACCTGCTTTCCTATTCCCTGTGCTTCACATTTATCAGATGGCACACATTGTCAATGGATCAGTTAATGCACAGGATCAACTTCAACAATCAGTGTGCTTAATCCATTGTGGCTGATGTGTGTTCCTGTGCATTAAAATAATTAGATATGAAGCCGGGACAATGTTCTTACGTACTGAGACAACTACACTAATAATAACAAAAAGCAATCCCAATACAGAAAGTGACAATTTAAAAAAATGTCCATACGTAAAGAACTTCTTTTTTTTAATGTAACCTTCATTTAGCTAAAATGTTTTACTTTGACAAGGCAGTATTAATTACACATATCAAAATAAAGAAATAAGAGAATTAGGAAATGAATAGCAAGTAGACAATAGTTTACAGACCTTAAACAAAATACAATTAAATAACTAAGAAATAAAATACATTAATCTAGTTCATTTTGTATAAAGCCCACGTTCACATTATTTGTATCGTTTCATCTTATGGATTTACTATTGAATATTGTTAATTTATTGTATTAATCTATTCTTTACACTTGACATCTATGTTATGTGTGTCTGTCCACCCTTGGATATGGCTATTATAAATATATATAAAAAAAATGACTGAAACAGTGACAGACACATTTCTGGATGGAGTGAGACCTCGCGTCTCTTTGGATCTATGTTTCCTCTTTTCGACGTTTGTCGACCTCTGCCGGTTGGTAGGTGGCGATCCCATCGGTAACTAAAGATGTCCGACAATCACTGCTTGCGAGTCGACCTTAGCTTAGGTAGGGTAAGCTACACAGATAACAAACCTATTCTTTCAATTGTTGCAACGGTGTTTTTACGTTTAAGTGCCCATTTCTTTCTTTTGCAGTTACTTTCGAATGTTGATTCGCTTATTCAAAGACATGGGTCGCCATGATACTGCGGTCACTTCAAATGGAAATAAAAATATAAATGTTTGTGGGGCATACACAACATTTCTGTTCTGCCTACAATGCAAATATCTAACTTAATCAAAAAGGGGAGAAGTCAGTGGTATTGTCGATGTATATATAATTCTCTATATGATTGCTTTACGTCATGCGGTTCGTTGGTCTAGGGGTATGATTCTCGCTTAGGGTGCGAGAGGTCCCGGGTTCAAATCCCGGACGAGCCCTCCCTTTTTTAGAAGTTTAATGATTATTAAAATAATCCACTTGTCTGTTCATGTTATAATGCCTCAACAACACGATGGAACTGTTCAACATCAGTATGTTATGAGTTTAAAACAAATATATTCATTCTTCTTTTCGTTGTTTACGAATGTTACGTGACTTCATTAAGTGACTTAGTTACACTCATTTAATGAATGTAGCAGGGTATTCTCATGTCTCACACAATTATGAGTTCACAACATATTGTGTAACTTGAGTCTAAACCAGTCTATGGTCTAAACTCACCAGGTGTATGACAAAAGAAGTGTAAGGACATTGATATGATCAGCCAAACATCGGGAGAATTTCCTTCACAGTTGTTTTGTAGGTTACCCTGCCATAGTCACTTTTACCTGGCTGGTCACTGTCATATTGCGTCACTTCCTCAATTCTGCTAGACTTTCACCAACCAATTGACACATCCGGGCACAATTTAAATACCGCGCGGGATGTTCATTCAGGTGTGAGACAAACCTATTTCACAAACTCTGCAACGCCTTTCAACCGCAGGATAAGGAGCCGACTGTTTGAGGTAAGTTTAGTGCGCTATCAAGCTAAATGCCAGGTACCGATAACACTAGGATTGAACGCTTGGAGATGCACGAGAACGGTATAGAGGCAAGCTTGCCAAGACTATTCGTGCATTAATCTTCAACAACAGTTGTAGCACCTTTTTTGTTTTTAAATGTATGTGTAGTCATTTTGAGTGTCTCTGTTGTCATTGTTTTATTCTCGGTTGTAGTAACTTAAAGTTTCTTTGTGATTGGTTTGTTCTTGTAGTTTTTCCCCCTGTGTTGTTTGTATTAGATTTATTGGCCACACAATTCCTGCATTAATCTTCAAATAATTGTTAAGCCTGTTTGTTCTCTTTATGCTCATTTAGTCATTTACATCTCTTTTGTACTCATGCTAAGTCTACAGGTAATTTAGTTGGTATTGTAAGTTGTTTCTTATGTTCGACTCATTTTATAGTGTCTCTTTGTTCTCTTTTTGTTTCCTTTTGAGTCTCAATATTTTTCTTTTATATTTAGGCGCTTTGTTTATCTTATGTATTTGTTTAATCATATAGAGATTTTAGTGTAGTTGTTTTTCAAATGATGTGTGTGTATATTGGTTTAAATCAGCACCTTTACCACCTACAGCTATAACATCTCATTTAAACCCCTAATCATAACAAAAACAATACAAATAATACTGTGATGTAATGTAGCCTAACATACATTAAGTGAAGGAGTAATTATTTTAATAATAAATACTTTTTGGTACGTTTTGCTGTAGTTGTACTTCTGCTCAGTGTGCACATTCCTCTCAATAGCCACCAGAGGTCAGAATTTACTAAACTATGTTTTCTATACTGGGAGAACTTCAATTGCATGCTTGTAGCATATTGATATATCCTCTGCATTTGATTTCATGAAATTGTGTTTTTATTTAAAACGACAGCTTTGTTAAGGTTAGTTTATTTAAATAGCACATTGTCAGACTCAAAGGCAATTCAAATTGCTTTAAAGGCATTAACCATTTTTAAAAACAAAAAGACAATTCATAAAAGGGATAAGAGTGATCGCAGCAGAAAGTGCTGATGATAAGGCCCAATTGGAGCATCTGTGGATAGGCAGCATTACAAAGAAAAGTTTTTAACCTTGATTTATAAGAACTAATTTTCAAGCAGTTTGTTCCAGGTTCATGGTGCATAGAAGCTTAAAGCTGCCTCATCGAATTTAGTTCTGACCCTTGGGATGACGAGTAAGTAAAAGTACGATTTTGAAGTGTATTCTTTGGAAGACAGTGCTTCAATTGCAATGTGGTCAATTCTTCTAGTTTTGGTGAGGACTCTGGTGGCAGCATTCTGGATAGTTGTAGTTGTCTTGTTGATTCTTTTTTAACGTTTTTTCTGTTGGATGCCTCCATGACAAAGGAAGCTTCTAACACAGATTCACCAAACAACAAGACTCTATGAAAAATTCCTCTTTTATATGGAGAGTATCAACTAATTAATAATAAAGACCCTGACAACCTTCCAAAGAAGCCCTTAGTGAGTGAGATTCCCTTGGGAACATGTCATTCCTTATTCAGAATTCTTATCAGAATTCTCTGAGTTTTTATCAACTTTGGTACTTAAAACAGATAAAGTAATTATCGTAGGTGACTTTAATATTCATGTTGACGATGATAAAAAAAATAGCCTTACTGGTGCATTTAACTCTATATTAGATTCTGTTGGTTTTTGTCAGTGTAAATAAACCAACCCACTGCTATAATCACACTCGACCTTGTTCTGACTTATGGTATTGAAATTGAGCAACTATTAGTCGAACCGCATAATCCTGCTTTATCCGACCATTTCTTAGTAACTTTTGAAATACTGTTCCTAGACTACAAAGCATTAGTCAAAAGCTCCTGCAGCAGAAACCTATCTGTTAGTGCTATAGCCAAATTTAAGGAAGAGATTCCACCAATACTTAACTCGATAGCATGTCTGCATGTAAGGGAGGAAACTTATACAAAATGTACACCACCCCAAATTGATCATGTTGTTGATAGTGCTACAGATGCGCTGCGAATAAAATTAGACTCCGTTGCTCCTTTGAAAAAGAAGAAAATAAAACAACATAGATTAGCTCCATGGCATAATACCGAAACCCGCAAAATAAACCAAAAGTCGAGACAACTTGAAAGGATATGGCGTTCCACTAAACTTGAAGAATCTCGTTTAATTTGGCATATTACTCTCAATGAATATAAGAAAGCACTGCGTAAAGCGAGAGCAGCCTACTACTCTTCATTAATAGATGAGAATAAGAATAATGCAAGATTTCTTTTCAGCACTGTAGCCAGGCTGACAGAAAGCCACAGCTCGATTGAGCCTTCTATTCCCATAGCACTCAGTAGTAATGATTTTATGTGCTTTTTTAACAATAAAATTGTTACTCTTAGAAACAAAATTAATGACCTCTTGCCTTTGACCAGTATAGTGTTATCAACAGCTCCCGGAAACGTAAGTTCTAATATTACACTAGATAGTAAACTAGAATGCTTTTCAGCCATGAACCTTGAACAATTAAATTCAATGATTATCTCTTCTAAACCATCAACGTGTATG